ATGAGATGGATTGACACAGTGGCTGCAATGGTGGGCTCAAGCATAGCAACGATTGTGAGGATGGCACAGGGCCAGGCAGTGTTTTGTACTGTTGTACATGGTGTCGCTAGGAGTCGGAACCAAGTTGGTAGCACCTAACAACAGCAACAACATGTTCACTGCAGCATTATTGACAATAGCAAAGAGATGGAAACAACCTAACTGCCTATCAACAGATGAATGGATAAACAAACTGTGGTACACACACACAATGAAATACTATCCAGCCATAAAGAATAATGACAAGTTCTCAAAATATGCTATAACGTGGATGAATCTGGAGGACATTATGCTGAGTGAAATAAGTCAATCACAAAAGGACAAGAACTGTATGATCTCACTATCATAAAAAGACAAGAATAGGTATACATACAGAAAACAACATTCTTTGGTAGTTACCAAGGATGGGAGGGAGAGGGAAGGGAAATCACTTTGTAGATAGTAAACAATTGTTAGTTTTAGTGATGGGTAAGGCAATACCGAATAAGGGTGAAGTCAGCACAACTTCACCAAGGTAAAAGATGATGCTAAGAAATACGCAAGAATAAGGGATGATTTTGGTAAATGCCACAACAAGTACACTTTTGCAACAACAGTAATAACAACTAAAAAATATGTATGTAGTTACATAGGTAAATATGTATGCCTATATACATATAGGTAAGCACATATGAATCTGTGTGCATGTATAGGTGTTTCTGTAGGCAAGTGTATACACGTTTGTGTGTGCTGCATATATAATCATATATAAAATAAAACACATAGGAGGCACGGTAATGGATACTTCCTAGACATAACCAAACACCTCATGGGATTGGGTTACTGGGTTTGATGGCTTAGGACCATAATCTCGGGGTGGGGGGAAACTTGGTCAATTGGCATAACATAACTCATAAAGATAATGTTCTACAGCATAGTTTGGTGAGTAGCATCTGGGGCCTTAAAAGCTTGCAAGTGGCCATCTGAAGATACAACTGTTGGTCTTTGTGCGTCTGGAGCAAAAGAGAAAGAAGGAAACACAAGACTCAAAGAAGAAACTAGTCTACAGGACTAATAGTCTACACGAACCACAACCTCACCTACTTTGAGACCAGAAGAACTAGATGGTCCCTGCTACCACTACTGACTGTTCCAACCAGGGACACAATAGATGGTCCCAGATAGAAAGAGTAAAGATGTAGAACAAAACTCGATTTCCTAAGAAGGCCAGACTTACTAGACCAGTAGAGACTAGAGGAACCCCTGAGATTATTGCCCAGGGATACCCCATAAACTTGGAACTCAAGCCGTTCCTGGAGGTCACCTATCAGCCAAAAGACAAAGTAGCTCATAAAATAAATAATATCACCCATGAGTACTGCACTCTTCTAAACAATCATCTAAATGAGACTGAACAGTCAACATTTACCCTAGTCCAAAGATGAGAAGAGGGGACAAGGAAGTTAGATTAGTGGAAACAGAACAACCAGAATAGAAATAATGAGAATCCTGACACACTGTAGAAAGTGTAACCAGTGTCACTGAATGATATGTATACCAAAAAACAAAAACAAAAACAAAAACAAAAACAAATCCTTTGCCATCCAGTTGATTCCAACTCCTAGCGACCCTATAGGACAGAGTAGAACTGCCCCATAGGGTTTCCAAGGAGCACATGGTGGATTCAAACTGCCAACCTTGTGGTTAGCAGCCAAACTCTTAACCACTACACCACCAGGGTTTCTGAATGATGTGTATGGAAACTGTTAAATCAGAACCTAATTTACTGTGTTAATTTTCTCCAAAATCACGATAAAATATGTATTTTTGAAGTGGCTCACAATTTAGAGAAAATGAAGTTCAATCCTTACTACATCATGTTAACGAATAAACTCAAATGCATTAAAGACCTACATGTGAAAGGTAAAACTAGAAAGCTAATAGAAGAATATATTGGAGAATATCTGTATGATCTCAGCTTTTTAAGACAAGGCCATAAAAGTGCAAACCATAGGAGGGAAAGGGATGAATTTGACTAGATCAAAGTTATTTATCTGTTAAATGAAGGATTCTGAAGATAAGAATAACCTATGGGTGACAGAAAGGAAACGATATTTGTAAATGATGAGGAATTCGTATCTAGAAAGTCCTACAAATGAGAAAAAAAAAATCAAATGGGAAAATTGGGAAAGATTTTGAAGAGGCAATTCACAGAAGGGGAAACCTGATAAACTTACGAGTAGATGCTGCTGTTTATAGTATTACTTTATAATGATCAGATTGGAAACAATTAGAAAGTCCAGTAATAACAAGTACTGGTGAGGGTGCAGGGAAATGGGAACACGTGTACATAGCTGATAGAATAAAAGTAAAAAAAAGAACCAAAAAAGCCCCGTTGCCGTCGAGTCAATTCTGACTCATAGGGACCCTAAAGGACAGAGTAGAACTGCACCACAGGGTTTCTAAGGAGCACCTGGTGGATTTGAACTGCCGACCTTTTGGTTAGCCGTCGTAGCTCTTAACCACAACGCCACCAGGGTTTCCAGAATAAAAGTAGGCATACCCATTCTGAAGAAAAATCTGGAAATACTTAGCGAAATTAATATGATTATACCCACAATCTAACAAACCAAAAACTCTGACATGGGTTTACAAAGAAAGTAACATGAGGATCTTTACTGCAGCAACGTTTATGGAAGCAAAGAGCTGGAAGTCAGCTAAGTGTCCATCCCTGGGAGAACTGATAAGTAACCTGTGATCTATACATTCAATGGAATACTAAGTAACAGTAAGAAGCCAGGAACTACATATATATAATAACTCTGACATATCTCAAAAGCATAACTTCGAAAGAAAATGTGACACATTAAAACACTCACAAAAAATTCTAAATAACTTCAAGGAAAAATGTATGTACAGATATAGATATATATGTATGTATATATGTGTGTGTATGTATGTAGTATATATACTCAGAAGGACATACATTAAATACATAAGCTGTTGTTAGTTGCCGTCCAGTCGATTCCAACTCATGGCGACCCCATGTGTGTCAGAGAAGAACTGTGCTCCGTAGGGTTTTCAAGGCTGTGATCTTTTGGAAGCAGATCATCAGGCCTGTCTTCCAAGGTGCCTCTGGATGAGTCCAAACCACCAACTTTTCAGCTAGTAGCAGAATGCTTATAACATTTTGTGCCACCCAGGGACTCCAAATACATAGGAGTGGGTATTAAATAGAGGAGAGAAATGGAAGCAGGATGAGGAATATAGAGGTGAACAAAATGTAAATAGAAGATTGTCTTTGCTTTGTCCAGTGATGAAAATAAACAGTAAACTAAGGAGTTTGAGTGACTTGATTGTTTTTACCTACTGTCTTAAAAAAAGAAAAGGAATTTAAAAAACTAAAACAAATACATTATGTGTATAATGATTGTATTTGAAAATTAATTGAATAATTCAGATAAAGCACCTAACTCAGTGTCTAGCACATAAAAAAAAAAAAAAAGCCTGTTGCCATGGAGCTGTTTCTGACTCATGGTAACCCCATGTGTTACAGAGCAGAACTGTGCTCCATAGAGTTTTCTTGGCTGTAATCTTTACGAAAGAAGATTGCCAGGCCCTTCTTCTGCAGTGTCACCACCAGCTCTTTGATGAGTAGTTGAGCGCAAATTATTTGCGCCACCACCCAGGTGCAGCCTAGTGCATACTAAACACTAAATAGATGTTGTCCGTTAATTTTATTGGTGTCCCTGGGTGGTGCAAATGGTTAAGCAGTCAGCTGCTAACTGAAACATTGGAGGTTTGAGTAAACCCAGAGGTGTCTCAGAAGAAAGGCCTGGAGATCCACTTCCAAAAAATCAGCCAATGAAAACCCTATGGAGGGAGCATCGTCCTACTCTGACACATATGGGGTTGCCATGATCCAGAATTGACTCAATAGCATCTGGTTTTATTAATTTTATCAACACGATTCGTAACATAAAGAACTCAAAAACCAAACCTGTTGCCATCAGGTTGATTCCGACTCATAGTGACCCTATAGGATGGAGTAGAACTGCCCCACAGGGTTTCCAAGGCTGTAATCTTTGTGGAAGCAGACTGCCATATCTTTCTGCCTCGGAGCAGCTGGTGGGTTCAAATAGCTGACCTTTCAATTAGCAGCCGAACTGCACCGCCAGGGCTCCTTAATTCATAACATAGCTACTACCAATCAACTGGAGTTGGTACTTAAGGCCAGTTGGATTTAGATGATTTTCTCCCAAAAGACCCTTCCACATCTAATGTACTATGGTTCTACTAGAAGGGTAAGCAGCTACTGGTAGCAGACCCAGAAGCAAGCAGACAGTAGAAGAGCTGGAACAGTCAAGGGGGGTGGTACTGGCTACCGTCTTTTTTGCTGTGTCTTTGAAAACTGAGATGGTTAACTTGGGAGAATATCGGTAAATATAATGCACAAATTAAGAACAGGTAGACTACACAAGTAAAAAGCGCTATAAAGCTGGGAAACTTTACGTACTTTGGTGTATTTCCTCCAAATGGATATTTTCTCTAAATATTTTAATTTTAAATTATAAAATTGTAACTGAATTGCAAAGTCTAGCTATATAGAGTGTTTGCTTTGGATTATGCCTCCGCCATCCTTCCTCTCCTCCCCTGAAGAAGTGGGATACAGGTTGCTCTAGAGAAATAAGCAAGATCATCACCTAGTGGCCATTGCCTCAAAGTGCTGATGCAAGATCCCTGGTCCCGAAGAGCACAGGAGAAGATGTGCCCAATCCTTATCGTCACACAGTGTGGATTCAACAAGCACTGACTCTGACTCTATGCCAGGCACTATTCTGGCATATGTGGATATAGAGCTGCTAAGGCAAAATGACAGATTTAAAAAATAAAATGAAGGAAGTGTCAACTCAGAAACTTAGAAGCCCTCCCAAAGTGACGTTGCATTTTAATGTGTTGATTTTCCACTGGTTTTTCCATAGATCATAGACGAAGAAGAAACACAATTTATGAGTAACTGCCCTGTTGCTGTCACTGAGAGCACGCCCCGGAGGAGGACTCGGATCCAGGTGTTTTGGATAGCACCACCAGCAGGAACAGGCTGTGTGATTCTAAAGTAAGTGAAGATGGAATCTTTGTAACACTTTGTTTTGCTTCTCTGCAGCTTCTCCAAGACTTCATTCACGGTGTAGTTGCAGAAAGAAAATGGCTTTACTGAGGTGTCAGACAAGTTGTCTCGCTTCTCAGGTTCTCAGTTACCCCAACTCTAAAATGGACCATTGTCTTAGTTTGCTAGTGCTGCTGCAACAGAAATACTACAAGTGGGTGATTTTGAAGAACGGAAATTTATTCCCTCACAGTTTAGGAGGCTAGAAGTCCAAATTCAGGGCACTGGCTCTAGGGGAAGGCTCTCTCTCTGTCTGCTCTGGGGGAAAATCCTGTTTCAGCTTCTCTAGCCAGCCATTCTTGGAGTTTCTGAGCTTGTAGTTTCTGGTCTATCTTCATTGTCTTCAGATAGTGTCAGTCTTCCCCTTGTTGTCTTTCTTCTGTGCCTTATCTACTGGTGTAGAGGTTGGGATTTACAACAGATACTTCCGGGGGACACAATTCAATCTATAACAACCATCACTGGAGCAGTGCTACATAAAGAATCAATGGTCCAAATTGCTATTTTCCTGGCCACTCTCTGTCTTCCTGGGGATGATAATACTAATGTTCCCCAAGGAGCTGAGCTGAGCTGGCTGTCACTAAGGTTGGTTAAAAAAAATTAGGAGCCAGGTGTGAACAATCTTTGACTTCCTCTGCCTAGAATTGGACACTTTTTCTTTTCTTATAACCCCTAACACCTAGTGTCGTTAAACTGTACTTAGGCTGACCTGGGCCTAACTCTAACTTCCATCAGGTCTGGACTCTGCTTTATGATCCTGTCTTCTTTCCCCATCAAACTTGCCCTCAGGTGCCACTTCCTATTTGACCTCCTGATTCTCCTTTCTGGTGAGTTACAATAGAATAAGAAGTGTTAACCAGATAATAGTTTTCCTCTGAAAGGTAGCATTGCTTCAAATCTGTGTCTCTAAAATTGGGTACCACAAAGTGATGCTCTGGGATATGTAAACACATGGGCAGGAGAAGAATGTCTGTGGTCAAATACGTTTGGAAAAAGCTGCATACTGCTTCCTCCTCTTGCCGGTTCACAAAACGTATTAGCATATTAAAGATTTTACAAAGTCTTGCTAAGAAGAAATCTGTTTAACTTGGTTTCACCCAGCATTTCCCAAATTTATTTAACTACAAAACTCCTTTTTTGCTGGGACATCCATTAACATTCACCAGTTTAGGAAACACCTTCGTACCTATTTTAAAAACAGATTTAAAGGCCTGTATGGAGTAATGCAAGGAGTCCCTGGATCGCACTTGACGGCACCTAACAACGTATAACAAGGGAGTCAGCCACTATCACTTGCCTTTGGCAGAGACTCCAAGGCAGGCAGGGCAGTGGGAAAGCTATTGTAGTTAGAAAAAAAAAAAAAAGGAAACCTTCAGGTATGCTCTGATTGAAGGATGTTGGCATGGGGAAGCTGGAGACATCTTATGTGATTGGTTTGGGGAACATATTTGGCTTTCTCTGGTTGGTCCTGAGTTGGAAGTTACAAGGTGTCTATTCCAACTCATACCAGTTCATTGGGTCTATTCCCACTCATACCAACTCTATAGAACAGAGGAGGACTTCCCCATAGGGCTTCCAAGGCTGTAATCTTTATGGAAACAGACTGCCACATCTGTGGCTGGTAGGTTTGAACTGCTGAACTTTTGGTTAGCAGCTGAGCGCTTAACCACTGTCCCACCAGAGCTCCTTGGGAAAGGGGTTAGCAACAAAAAAAAAAAAAAAAAAAAGAGGGAGAGAAACTGGCAGTTGTGGACCAAGTGCTGACAGTCCTGGGCCGATGGCTACAGAGGTTGTGGTTTGGCTTCCAGGCTGGTTGCTGCACAAGTTGGGGGTCAGAGTCCCACTGTCATATGTGGCCTGGCCATTGTCCCTTTGTATGTTCAGTTTCTCTGCCTGGAGACTGGGTTCTTAACTTGGCTATCCAGTCCCCCCACCTCCATCCATGGCCATCCCAAGTACTCTACAGAGCCTGGGGCGCTGAAGAAGATAGTTTGAAAGCTTCAGATCTATGTGATAGGTCTTTCTGCTCCAAAAACCCTTATCCCTCCAGCCCAGATTCTTGGTTTTCTTTGATTTATTGTTCTCACAATCCAGAAACATTTGATTTTCCTAGTGGAAGCCAGAAAGGCATCTCTTGTTTACGCATTAACAATGAACATATGTGAACATATGTTTATGCATTAACAATTAACACATGTGGCTAGTTCACTCACTCATTCTTTCAACAAATGTAACTGAGTTTCTATTTGCACAGGCACCCAGGATACACAGGCAACTGAGCTATGTTCACGACCCTGGAGGTTCTTATAAGTCAAATGGGGGGAGAGAGAAAAGGTCAGCCAATTCTTTCCATATGCCAGGAACTCAGCTGTGCATCTGACAGGGTTTATCTAATTTAATCTTCACAGCAATCTACCCCCATTTTTACAGATGAGTAGGCAGGCCCCAGGGAATTGGCAAATTTTTGAAGTCACGCATCCATTTAACTCCAAAGCCCATGCTGTTTCTTTTACTTATTTTTTTCTGAAGGCATTAAATATAAGCTACAACTATTCATTAAAGATATAAAAATTTCATAGGTAATTGAATACATCTACACTGTAAAATTTCAAACAATACAGAAAGAGTAAAAAATCTCTGACACACCACCCCCACCCCCAATAAATCTTGGTCTATTACCAGCAGGTAACAACTTGGTGTGTAGTTAGACCTTTGTCTATGCATTAATATGCATGTAAGTAAATATAAAAGCACATAGTTTCATTTTTATGGGTATTTAAATTTATACAAGTGGTATTATGCTATATATAATGTTCTGAACTTAAATAGTTTTTCACTGAAAAAGATGTATTAGAGATATTTCCAGGTCAGTATATATGATTACGAAGCCCTGGAGGCACAATGGTTAAGAGCTACGGCTGCTAATCAAATAGTTGGCAGTTCAAATCCACCAGCTGCTCCTTGGAAACCCTATGGGGCAATTCTACTCTGTCCTATAGGGTTGCGATGAGTCGGAATCAACTTGATGGCAACGAGAGGTTTTTTCAATATATGAATATGTGTCATTTTTTTTTCTTTTTAAACATTTTTTAGTATTTTATTTTGTTGTTGTTGAAAATATACACAACAAAACATACACCTATTCAACATTTTCTACACGTACAATTTAACGACATTGATTACATTCATCGAGTTGTGCAACCATTCTCATCCTCCTTTTCTGAGTTGTTTCTATCTCATTAACATAAACTCACTGCCCCCTAAGGTTCCTATCTAATCTTTTGAGTTGCTTTTGTCAGTTTGATCCCATCCGATAGTTCTTAAAAGAGCATTATGCTCAAAGCAGACCTTTTTTACTAGTTAAGCTAAGTTATTGTTCAGTTTTAAAAAGACTTCAGGGGATATTTTTAGTTTAAGTTTTAGAGATTATCTCAGGGCAATAGCTGCATCAATTTTTTTTTTAACTGTTGCATATAATCTATAATGTAGATGCATTGTAGTTATCCCACAGATGATGGACGTTTAGACTGTTTCCAGTTTCTTGTAATAACAAGTAATGCTACAATGATCATCCTTGTACGTGCCTCTTTGAGTAAATATGCAAGCTTTTGTTCATGGTAGATGCCAAAAATGGGATCACAAGGGATGCACATTTATAATTTTCGTAGACACTGCCAGATTTTTCTCCAAAAAGCTTGCCAACTTAAACACCCTCCTTGACTATGTACAAGAGAGCCTATTTCCTTAGTCACTCAATAGCCCTTGATGTTATCAATCTTTAAAATTCTGCCAATCTTATAGTTTAAAATGGTATTGCAAGTTTTGGTAAGTTTGATTATAATATGTCTTGGTGACTTTCTTTTGGGATCTACCCTATGTGGGGTTCGATGAGCATCTTGGATAGATAATCTTCTCATCTTTCATGATATCAGGGAAGTTTTCTGTCAGCAAATCTTTAACAATTTTATCTGTATTTTCTGTTATCCCCCCTGTTCTGGTACTCCAATCACTCGTAGGTTATTTCTCTTGATAAGAGTCCCACATGACTCTTAGAGTTTCTTCATTCTTTTTAATTCTTTTATCTGATTTTTCCTCAAATAAGTTGGCATCAAAAAATAAATAAATAAATAATTTATGTATGGGAGACTAACTTGAAATATAAACTTCATTTAATTACAAAAATAATTAAAAAAAAAAAACCATAGAACTATAAACACACACACAAAATAAGTTGGCGTCAAGAGCTTTATCTTCAATGTCACTAATTCTAACTTCTACTGCCTCAATTCTGCTCCTATGACTTTCTATTGAGTTGTCTAATTCTGAAATTTTATTGTTAATCTTCTGGATTTCTGGCTGCCATCTCTTTATGGATTCTTGCAGACTATTAAATTTGACATTGTGTTCTTGAATAACTTTTTTAAGTTCCGCTACTACTGTGTCTGTATGTTCCCTGGATGTTTCTGCATTCTGTAGAATTTCCTTTCTTATTTCTAGAAGAGTTCTGTATATTAATCTTTTGTATTCTGCCTCTGGTAATTCCCAGAATTCTCTTCCTCCAGAGAATTTATTGTTTATTTTGGGAGCTTGCTGAAGCCATCATGGACTGCCTATTTATGTGACTTGATATTGACTGTTGTCTCTGAGCCATCAATAATTTATTATAATTTTATTTTGTATTTGCTTAGTGAGACCTAGCTTCTTATTTTGTTTTGTTTTGATATGCCTAAATAGGCTGCTTGTGTGCACTAGTTTGATTTTTGACACCTTTGGATCTGTAACGTCCTGTCAGCAGGTAGGTAGTTCTGTAACTAAGTATGTGCACACAGGAGTCCATTAAATTGTCCTATATGGGTTCAGCTGGGGTGTTCAGGCAGTTGGTCACCAAGTGTGTGATGCAGGCTCTCACCCCCAGTCCTAGAGAGGCATGGGTGATTGGTGCAGGCACT